TGCCTTAGCACTTTCTTCTTTGATCTTTCTTAATAGGTGTTCCAGGTCCGTGAGGTTTTCTGCTAGTATTTGCATATCTTAAATTGTTAATATGGCCTCGTCCTATTTTCACTCCTCCTTTTTCTATGTCCAAGCCTGCTTTTCTTATACGGTCATCCGGATTCATGGACTTACTATTTGCGGTTTCGATTATTCAGGAATGGCAAGGCAAGCCCACAGCTCCCTCCTTCTGCTCTGGCCTTTCCTTGGCCGCATGGCTTTGCAGCAGCCGGCGCAACTTTGCCTGGGCCCCGGAGGTTTGAGGTGGCTGGTGCAGCCTTAGAATCATAGAGTTGGAAGAGACCACAAGGGCCATCCCGTCCAACCCCCTGCCATGCAGGAACTCAAAATCAAACCATCTCCGACAGATAGCCATCCAGCCTTTGTTTAAAGACCTTCAAAGAAGGAGACTCCACCACACTTTGAGGGAGTGTGTTCCATTGTCAAACAGCTATTACTGTCAGGACATTCCTCCTAATGTTTAGGTGGAATCTCTTTTTCTGTAGCTTGCATCTGTTGTTCCAAGTCCTATTCTCTAGAGCAGCAGAAAACAAGCTAGCGCCCTCCTCAATATGACATCCCTTCAAATATTTAATGAGGGCTTTCATATCCCCTCTTAACTGTCTCTTTTCCAGGCTAAACATATCCAGTTTCCTAAGTCATTCCTCATAGGGCATAGTTTCCAGACCCTTCACCCTGCTCTGGACACACTCCAGTTTTTCAACATCCTTTTTGAATTGTGGTGCCCAGAACTGGACACAGTATTCCAGGTGGGGCCTGACCAAAGCAGAATACAGTGGCACTATTACTTCCCTTAATCTAGATACTATACTTCTATTAATGCAGCCTAAAATTGCATTGGCCTTTTTAGCTGCGGCATCACACTGTTGACTCATGTTCAACTTGTGGTCTACTAGGACTCCTAGATCCCTTTCACACGTAGTCTCGTTAAGCTAGGTGTCCCCCATCTTATATATAAGCATTTTATTTTTATTTTTATTTTTGTCCTAAGCACAGTACCTTACATTTCTCTGTGTTGAAATTCATTTT